AAGGTCTATCTGGGGGGAAAAAACTTCAGGAAGATTAAACGTATCTGAGTTTGTTTTAAATATTAAATATTATTCACTATTAAATGCTCCCTGTAAGCTGCTGGATTCGAAACGTGAGCACAGGCATATTGTAACACTGACTGAATCAGTGGATCACTCACTCTTTTCTTTTTTTAAATTGACAATCAAAGAACAAATATATATTATTTGATTTTGAATTGCCTATCAAAAGGAAATAGAACTTGTTTTGATTATTTCAATTTTAGATTTGGATCAAAAATATGAAATGAAAAAAAAGGGCTGCTGGAACAAATTTAATTTTAAAATTCAATTTGTCTGCTTTACGAGACCTGGTTTCATTGTCCATTGAGAAATTAAAGAATTAATGATACATGGATTGAAAAGAGTCTGTGCACATTCAAAATTGGGGTTTTGATCATCAGAAAAAAGAATATAAGTATGAAATAAATTCACTGATATTTTAGAATTTATTCACCTCAGAAGACCAAACCAATAGCCTGCATTAATTTGAAGGGTGATACAGAGATCTCAACTACATTGAAAAAGCCAGGTCTTACTCAAAGACAGTGGTTTTATGTTACAGAGGTGACAGTTGGTTAGTCTTTATCTTAGCGCTGAAAATTAGAGCCTAAAATATGAAATCATTGTTCTGTCGTCTTTAATGTTTTATTTAAATTCAAAACCTATTTTAAGAATAATTTCTCACACAGTACTCTGTAATAATAATAATAATAATAATAATAATAATAATTTATTATTATTATTGCACTTTATTTGTGGGCACCTTTCTAATACTCAAGGTCCTTACAAAGCATAGAAGACAAACTCATTCTCAGGATCATGTTATCTTCGGACTCTACTGCAGAAGAGTATCAAATAAGTTTTTGCAAAATCCGCAGACAGTTACTGCTTGGTTTCTTTAGGAGTATGAAACTGTGATTTACTGTTTACTTCTTTCAGATCAGTAACACCATCTGAGCCGGTTCTAGACAAGCATATATGAGGGGGCAGAGAGAAATGCAAATATTAACAAAACTTTAAAAAGTAGGCCAAGTTACAAAGAAAAAGGCAATAAATCAAGCCTTGAAATATAAAACTGAAAAATAGAAATACAGAATAAAAAAAAATCTCCATCCAGGTCTTTACAACCAACAGCATAAAATCTATCTTATTTAAATGGCCCAATTCTCAAATAAATTTTCAAAATAAAGTATGAATAAAATAAGACATTCAT